TCAGACAGAGAGGGAGGTACAGGAGCAGGAATCCGCCTCTGCAGGGACTGGGGAAGGTAGGAGCTCAAGCAATGATTTATCTGACAGAGCTTACCTGGTGAATGAGGAGTTTCCACATAGGTTCCACATCCTATCAATGCATTTGGACACCATGTTATCTCTTCAGCAAAGATTTCTCCCGCCTAATTTGCCTGTAGCCAGGCCAAGATGATAAGGAGAGTGAGCCTCTGTCCATGTAAATAGAGAAGTTGTCGTTTTAACGTGCTTTTAGAGGGCAAAATGAACTCTTCTCCAGATCATTGTGTCTTTGTAGAATCAGCTCTACTGGTATCACTCCTCACAAATCTCCTGGATGCTTACCATCAGTAAGGCTGCAAACTGTTAAGAATTATCCTTTCTGCCTCTGTGTTAGAGTTTAACTTGGTCCTTCAACCTCTGCATCTAAAACCTGTGCAGGCTTTGCAAGGTGAGCATCTGGATACAAAATAAAATACTGTAAATCATTTCTCACAAAGCAGGTACGAGTATTCTGTTTAGTCTGATTGATGAGGGCTGTGATGAGTGTCCAGCTTAGCTATTCAAAAATGTCTCTAATGTTTTCCAGTCTAGAAAAACTTACCAACATGTAAAGAGCTGGAAGCAGCTGATGTGCAGTTCCTATATGATGATAAAGTCACTGATCTTTTGAAAGCATGATGATTTTGTCCAGGTTTCTTGTCTCTATACTGTAGCACTGTGCTTGAATCCAGCTCTGAAGGCTTGGCTAGGATGGAGTTGGGCCGTATATACGTAGGAAGGACAGAGAAAATCAAGGAGACGATTTTGAAGTTGTTGGTTCATGATCAACCCATTGGGCTTTGGGAAGCAACCCATGACATGCCTGTTTGTGCCTGCATGCTTGCTTGTGCTCTGTCACTCTTAAAGATACTTTTTGGCAAGCAACTCTTCCACAGTTTCTGCTGTGCAGCATCCAGCATGTGAATAAGGCTTTGTGTTTCTCTGATCTCGACTCTTCTGTTCAAAGTTAAGTGGCAAATTCCTGACCTGTGGGGTTTCCCATCTGCTTGTCTCAGCAGAGCTGAGATTAACCTCTGTGGAAGGTTAGTACAGTTGAGGGCGTGTGAATGAGACTGGAACATACGATGTCTGGACAAATGCTGAACTTGTGGGAACTGGTTCTTCCACTGAATGTGGTAGCAGACTGAGAACAGGGTACAGTGTGGGACCTTCTTGCATCAAGGCCATGATGGCTGGTGCTGTAGGCTTGGGGGTCTTTCTCTGCTCTGTTAAACCAGTGGAGTTCTCCAGTGCTGCTTCTCTCTGCTGCTGTTCTGCAATCATCTGAAAGTTTCATTATCTCATTCTTTCTAATTAATCTTTCAATTTTCAGATCTAGATCATGGTTTTTAACTAGACCATTAATGAGATGGGGAAGGATCGTCCTTTACCAGTGCCGTGGGCAGGGTATCTCTACAAAGAAGCGAAACATGTAGCATTTGGAAGAAAAGGAGTGTAAATAACAACTCTAGGCAGAGACTTCTCTTTGTCTCCCTTTCTTGCTTGGAAGAAGATTGACGGGTTCCACATCTGGTGTTATTGCTGGCTCAGATGCTGACTTACCACGTGTCCCCTTGAAAGTGGCCTCACGTGCAAAATGGGCTGTCACTCTCCTCTCTCCTATGTAAGGATCTTTAGAACAAAGGTGTTATTCCAGATGCATGCACTGGAGATGAACCAAGCGGTCTTACTCTGTAGTTGATCAGTTCTTATGCCAGTTGCATCCTCAGTGGAAATTCCTGTGCAAAGGCTCAAGAGCAGCTCAAAACAGGGAGCTGTCAAGACATTAACTGTCAGGAGCATGTAGGATCTAGAAAACCGACTGTAATCCATGACAGAGGAATGGTACAAGGACCTATCATGAAGCAGGAAGACAAATTTTCAGCTGATGTTACCAACACCTCAGCCAGTTAGCCAGGGGCTTGTGGCATCAGCGGTCTGGTTCATCCAGGAGTCTTTGTGCTTCACGTTACACTTGAGCCCCATTGCGCTGCTTGTGATGTTAAGGTTACTGTTTTTCCAGCATCATAAACTCTTGTGGTGCTCATCCACGGTGTTCAGACAGGTTAGATTAGATGCTGTGCTTCTTTTCTGATGGTTAATTTGCCCATTGTATCTGCCATAACTCTTTGCCTATTGAAAGGGAAACTGTTTCCAAATAGCAGGATCTAGATGTCAGGAACATGAAGGAAAAAAAAAAAAGGAAAAAATGTGCCACCACTAACTTGGTGTGTGACCTAGGGCAAATTATTAATCATCTACCAAATAGGAATAAATCTTCCCGTAGTACAGTAGACCAGGGGCTGTGAAGATTAATTAGTGTTTTGTTTGGGGCTTTGAAGATGTAAATCACTACGTAAAGGCTTAGCAGTATTATCAGCAGCAGAATGGATAAAACAGATGTGATTTTGAGTAATGCAAAGGAAAGTGTTTTAGTTATCACCTCGTCATGAGGGAAAAAACCCAAAAGAAAACAAAAAAACCTTGAATGTTTAAAAAAAGAAAAAGAAAGGCTAGCACTACCCCCAAGAGTGGGTTTCTGTCCTATGTCCTGTCAGCCCAGCTGTTGTGGGGAATTCTGGCTCAGGGCATTTCTTGCAGATATGTGCTTACTGTACAAAAAAAAGTATGCAGAATTGCATCAGAAATCTAATTAAGCTCTGTGCGGGTATAAATAGTTTCCTTTTCTCATGCAAAGCTCTGCGGGGACTTTGCTGTTCTGATTATCTTTCTCCCTCCTTTGGAGGAATGAGTATATGATGACTTTATTAGAAGTGAATCCCTCTAATGTCTGTATCTTTTTGTTTTGCAGCAGTTGATAGCTGCCTTGTGAACTCTGCTCCCAAACCACACATAAACCAAAGGAAGTTAGAGTTGAGAGGAAACTAGGAGAGACACCAAGAAATGCCTAAAATGGTGTTTCAGCTGTCTGCTACTTTCTCTTAAACTGACAGACATAGTGGAAACAGTGATGAAGTTATAACTTCGAGGCACTCTTAATTAGAAATAATCTGTTGGAGGTTATACTGTGCTTTCCCTTGCAAATGGACAGGCATGATGGGGGAGGGATCTGTATTCAACGGGCAAATTAAATCTCACTTAAAAACCAACGAAGATTTGTAATGAGATTTAATGGCCCAAAGCTTTAACTTTTAGAAACTGTAATTCCCAGTCCAGATTGGGTCAGGCTGTGGCTACCACTTGTTCAGGCTGCAGGGTCTGTGGAGTAGGATGCAAGTGGTAGTAACTGTCAGGGACTGCAAGTGGGCAAAAGGTGCCGCTGGCTGAGGGAAAGGGACCTTTGCAGAGCTACAGGACACTCATCTGATGGTGTGCCCATGCGGTCCCCCAGCTATTGGCGGTATATCAGTACATCTTTCAGGTAATCCAGTTGTGTAAAAAGAAATAACCCATATTCAAAAAAAAAAAACTTGATGGAAATAACTGAAAGGCAATTGTCATCTCAGTTCCTATCATCTACATTGTCTTTGAGGCTTAAAATTCAGATAACTAGCTCACTGGTCGTTGTGCAAGTAGGCACGTGTTACGAACTCCTGAAATTGTAGCCATCAGAAGACTTGCTGTTGGTGAATTGTTGCTTTGCCTGGCTTTGGGGGAGCAACATACTGACTGTTGTCATGCCGTATACAGTTTTTAACCTATTTGCTTCAAGTGTTTCTCGCCAGCCAGTACAAATTTCCATCATGTCCAGCTGCTTTCAGAGAGGTTGCAGCAGATACTTTTGAGAGGGAAAAGGGTTGTAAAATGAAGGCTTGGGTTTGTGGGATTCAGTCTGTTCAAACTGTTAGTAGTGAAAAGATAGTACACGCAAGTGAAACTTTCCTGGTATAAGCAAAGCATCCTAAGGAGCACTTACAAGCAGTTGGTGTGCCTGCATGTGATGTAATTTATTTAGTCTGAGACATTAGGAATGGGTGTCGGGGGCTGCATGGGCAGGAATACCCTGTCCCCAGCCAAGCCTCATGAATTCTGAAAAGGAACATGTTGTTTTACATTAGCTGAACACGTTCTTGCAATGCTGTTGTCAGATATGATGTGACTTTTGTGAGATTAGCGTGGAAATGGCAACCGGGACACCAGGGATCAGCTTCCAGATTCTCCCAAGTAGAAATGTGGGTAGATCCCTTAGCCTTTCATCTGCCCGTCCATCTGCAAAATGTGCGTCATACGTCCTATAGAACTGCAAATTTCGGTTTCTCTTTGAAGCCCTCTGAAAAGCACTATCTAAAAAATAGAATCAGGCTCTAGAAGCATGTACTACGCAAGCCTTTACAGTGTGAACTACTCCCAAATACCTGGCTCTCTTGGGATTAAATTATGGGGGCTACTTTTAAACTCTCGTTACAAAAATAAGTTTCACTCGTGCAAATCACCAAGGTGAGATATTGCTAAGAAATTGTTACAAGTCAAAGCAGTTTTGTCTTTTCTGAGTTCTGTGGAGTTGTTTGGATTAGCTACCTCAGAAAGAAAGTGTGAACGTGCTTCTGAGCTTGGTTGGGGAGCAAAGTAACTGGTAGTATTTCTTGGGGCGCTGAGGGAGATGTGATTATTCATAACTGGTTGTGCTGTGCTGTGACCCTCCCTTTCCTATTCTTATGCAAGGAGTGAATTCATTTAAAAATGCTGATATTTTTATCTTTGAGCATCTGAATTAGTGGGTCAGCTCACACCTCAGAGCTATTATTCCGTGTTCTCTGAAGACTTAGATTTCTCTGCAATGCTTACTCTTAGTTCTAATTTTGAAGCTTTATTTGCAAGCATGGCTACCAACTACTGCTGGTTTTAGAAAGAGGAAAGCTGAAAATAGGAAAAAATTCAGGAATGATGTCAATATATTGCACAGCCATAGAGGAGCCTGATCTCATCCTTGCATCTGTAGGCTTTGCTCTTTATCAAGTGTGTGCCGTCCCTGCCCAGGGATAAACAAGTTGTACTCCCTGTAAGTACTTCAGAGACCACTTCATTTAAGAGTGGAAACGCTCCTGCCTTATGCCCAGCTCCGTTGAAAGTTTGCCAGATGTTTTGCCTTTGTAGTAGTCTGTGTCAAACTCTTGTCTTGCTGGAGTAGCGTGACAGAGGACTTGTAAAGATAGATGCATTAGCTAAGGAGTATTTTGTTAAACATTGGAGCCTGTCAGCTAGATTGACAGAAATCCCCTGGTCTTTGGGATAATGACTCTCGAGAGTAATGTTTTGTGTCTGTGTTTGGGATAGATGGAGTTTTGGACCTCTGGAAGGGTCACTTTTGTTAGAGTAGAAAAGGTTTTGTAGCAGCACAACACTGTGGACACAACAGTAATACTTACTTGTATTGCAGAAGGGGACCGTGGGTGATGCCTTTCTGTCCTGTCAGGCACAGAACTTGTGTCCCTGCCCAGAAAAATATGGAGGCTGTGTCTCAAGATTGCTTCCTGCTCTGTGATGGATTCTGATACAGGGACAGCCTAGGTGGAGGACGAATTGGCAGGTGTTGTGCTTACACTGGTACTTCACACGCTGGAGCTGGTTAACTCAGTTTTCTAGATTTTGTCTGTAGTGCTCTGTGAGGTTTTTCTGGTTTTCTGACTCTAAAAGGTAGGGTTAGACGATTGAGAGCTTAAGATAAAGGATTTTACAGAACCTGGGAGATCCAAGTGTAGTTTTGGGCATAAAATGGGAGAAGAGGAATTGACTTCTCCATATGGAGGACAGATGTGCTGTCACTTGGCCTACTCTTGTACAAGCTCAGGTTCATGCTCTGGATATGCCTAAACCCTTTGGAGTCTGAAAAAAAAGTGTCACGAGTATGGGGTTTCTCTCTGGTTTTGTTCAGCTGGTGATGCAGAGAATGGAGTTTGGCCACTGCAACAAGTTGAAACTTCTAGAAATTTGAGGTTTGGGTTTTATGGCATTGCTGCTGTTTTGGGTAAGTGCCTGTGTGCCCGCTCTGGACCTCCAGCAAACAGAAGTTAGCTTCTTTCACTTGCAGTCAAGCATCAGTGTAGTCTGCATCGGCAGCCTGGTGAAAGAACATGTGTGGGAGTCACCAGGCAGTAGAAGCGGGCCGTATGGGAATCTGTGCCGTAGCTCAGCTCAAGGCGAGTCACGCAGGAAGCTTTGCTCTGAACCGGTCAGCCAAAGTCATTGTCGAAACCTAATGGGGCAAAAGGGGAGGACAACCCCCAAAGCAGAAGTGCTTGTTGGCTGCTTAAATGGTGAGGTTCGCTTCTGGCCCTTCACACACTGTCTTTCTGGAATTTCCAAGGCTGCTGTATGCCTGTGCTCATACTCTGAAGGCTCGTGACTTGCCGATTTCTGCTGTGCCATCAGCCCTTCCCTGTTTTCTCAGCAAACAGCTGCCTCAACTGGAAATTCAGCCATGGCACATGGTAATTACGGGCCAGGGAAGCGCAGGGGGTGCCATGGTGGGTGCTGCCTGCACGGCGTCCCCTGGTGAGGCACATGTTTGTAATGCTGAGGAGCGTTGGCTGGGGTTCCTTGCTCGTTCGTTGTTCCAGTGCTCCTGTCTTGGGCTCGTTTATAGCAAGTGATCTGTCAAGAGCACAGTACCTGCTGTTTCAAGTGTAGCTAGGGCTGGCTGGCATGTCTCTAAGCCAGGTTGCACATTTTGGCTTTCTCAAGCTTCCTCTCTGGCCTGGCCAGATGGTTGGTAATGAAGTGTTTACAACTATGCCCTCAGAAGGAAGCGATGACTGAATCCAAAACCATGCTTCTCAGACCTTCCACTTACTTCTGCTCATGATTAATGCTTCAGTGTCCCCTGGCACGTGTGTTTTTCATGCTGAAGTTTCCAGTCTAATAGCTGCCTCTGTTCTCAGTCTTTGTGCTGGTCACCCAGGTTCCTAGTTCATGCATCAGCCGCACATCCTGAACAGGATTTCTCTGCTAGAGTTGTGGGTCAGGCTCTGGACAGGGGGTATTCTTGCTCACTCCTTTATGTTCTGTTCCAGATTCTCATGTGGTTACTGGTATCTTCGTCGTCTTGCTGATGCTCTAACCAAGGAGCTATGCAATTGCTGTATGTATAGTGGATATAGCAGCCTTACTGCATTCTTAGCAGAAAGGGACGACTTCTACTTGGGAGAATTAAATTTGCCCTTAATATCCATAGTATTTCTACAGCAGGGCAGTATGTCAGCAGACGCTTGAAGATGAAATTAGCCATGCCCTGTGGTGGAGGAAGCCGGTGGTTGATGCAAGTACCACTGACCCCATGAGGAAACGGAATAAGCTGTCACTGACTGACTGCACAACATGTTAACAGCTTTAACTATCTTGCTTTTGGAAAAAATAACCTCTACAGTGGCATGGTATAGACTGTGCCGAATACCCCAGCTCCCATGTTGGATGCATGATTTCCACCCCACAGCCTCAAGCAGTTTTGTCTTCCTATTCAGTGTGGTATTTTGGTTTTTATTGTGTTTTAACTCCTGCCTACATCTAGCCTTGTTGACATTTGTGTTCATTTCCTTGGTACCAGGAGAGCTCATGACTTCCTCCTCTCCTCTAATCGGCACTGCGATAGCTTCGTGGAGCTGGGAGTGAGATTTATCTCTTTAATAAGAATCATCAGGATCCCACTGTGGAATGATTCTAGCAGTTTATGATTACAGATTGTTTTCCCCAAATGGTCTGGATAGGGTTTGTAGCAAAAGGAGGATGCTGGGAAACAGAACTGGGCTGGACTTTCCTGCCGTGGGGATTTAATCTCCTACGTGGAGTATTTTTCTGTGAGATTTTGTTCTTCAAAAGTAATCTTCAGCAACCAAGGCATGGGGTGACGATTCCCTCAGAGCTCAGTACAGCCTGACTGTGAAGGGAGGGCTCAGAGATAGAATAGGCAAAGGCTCTAGATCTTAAGAGCTCTTTTTTGCGTTCCTCAAAAGATATCAGTCAAGGGCAACAGGAGCCTACACACTTAATCTTTCCCTGATCAGAGGTGATGTGGAACCACAGACCGTGTTCTGTAGCTGCTGTCTGCCCTTGGCCGGCTGCCTATGTCCTCTCTGATACGGGGGAGATTGCCACCACGTCATCTGCCTGGGCTGTTCTCAAACAGGTGAAGCAGGAAAAGCCACAAGGACTCTTTAACACCATGGCGAAATGTTTGGTTTATTGCAGTGCAAACTGAGGTTTTTCTTGCTGCCCCTGTGGGACTGGCTGGGCTGTCCCTGCAGCTGTGAGAAAACACATTGCCTCTTTGACTTCTCCTTTTTCCCCCACCTTTATGGCTGAATAAGAGCTGCTTCTCCAAGGCTTGGACATGCAAGTCTGTGAGGGATACCTGTGGGAGCAGCCGAGACTTTCTTGACAGAGTTCAGTGCCTTTGGCACTTCACCGAAAGTTACAGAAATAAAATGTTGGGCTCGTTCTGGAACAAAACACATCTTCCATCTTCTGTCCCAGCACATGCATGCTGTGTGGTGCATCTACCCAGGATGCTTTCTCTTTGTGTTGTAGTTTGCCTTGTGCACCACAACCAAAATTGCTTGTGCTTTCTCTTGCAGGTGAAGGTCCAGAATATGGGGCCAGTGGAGAGGATGCCCTGAGTAGGATCCAAAGGCTGATGGCAGAAGGCGGCATGACTGCCGTGGTGCAGCGGGAGCAGAGCACCACTATGGCGTCCATGGGCGGCTTTGGCAACAACATCATTGTGAGCCACCGGATCCACCGCAGCTCTCAGACTGGTGCGGAGTCCACCGGCGTTGAGGGCACATCGGCACAGCAGTCCACCTCGCAGCAGTCAGCAGCTGAGCTGGAGGGACGGATCCTTTCAGAGTCTATGCAGCTGTCGGAGCACGGCCTGAGCCCGCGGACAGCCTCTGGTGGGAACGAAGGACAAAGCGCTGGTGATCTGGACCTGCCAGAGCAGGCCCAGTCTTCCATGGAGACTGAGGGACCAACTGAATACAGTGACCTAACTAATAATAACCATCTTCCTGACAGTACCAACTTCTATAGTAATGACAGCACCAGCGGGGAGTCGCGGAACAGGTAGAGATTGAGTTGTGTGTTGGTGCTACCCTTGTACTGCTCAGCAGAGACCTGTACCTCACAGCTGGCCAGGAGCTGGAAGAGTAGGGATGTGTGGCTCTGACATGATGCTGGTGGTTCAGAAGGCTTCTCTATCCTGGGTGGGTGGGAAGGGATAAGGACTGCAAGAAAAGCCATGGGGAAGAAAGCATACTTAACTTCCAACATTCCCACTGCTGAAGAGTTAGCAGGAATATGAACCGTACCAGCTGCACGTTGTGCAGATTTTGAAGCCCCATGGGATCCCCTGAGCTCAGCCCTAACCCTGCAATTCAGTCAGTGTCATCCTTTGTAAAGCTTCTTTCCTTTCCTCTTTCCTGCCCTTTTATGCCCAGAGGCTGATCAGTAGAGTGAAGAAAGGGAAGGGGGCCTGCAGCATCCTTCTGGAGACAGGCAGTCCTCCTGGGCAAACCTGGGCGTGATGCTCCAGCTCCGTTGCTGGAGTGGAGGAGTCTTCCAGGCCACAATCCTGCTCCGTGGCACAGCACTGCTTCCCTCTCAGAGTGCGGTGTTCTGAGACCCTTCCTGCCTGCGGTGTAGTCTTTTCTGGGAAGAACTGGGCTTTGCCAAAACCAGTGTGGCTCAGGATCTGCTCACAGGCGGGGTTCTTTCCTTTTTAGGTAGGTAGTTTAGCACTTGGCAGGAACCTAAGCAGAGCTGCTGTATAGATGGGTAGAGGGACAGGGGCTACTGCTCTCTAGTCAGGACGCAGTTCACACAAGGATGTTTTAAGCTGTGCCAATATTGACATGAATGAGCCATCCCAGTGGTTTCATGGTGCCAGGACTGAGCTGCACCTCCTTGGCAGGGGGCAGGAAATGTCTTTCAGCTCCAGGCCAGGGTGTGAGGTATGGGTCTGTGATGTAAGGTGTTGCATGTGAAATCTTGACCTTGTACATGTAGTTTCTAGCGGAGAAATCAAGGCTCCGATATTTTGGTTTTAGTCTCAAATGTGATTTTCCTTTTCGTTTGTAACTCTCCATCCCTAGCAGGCTTGTGGAGGAAGGACGGGGAGAGTGTGAGTGCTAACGAGGGAAACACCAAAGATCAATGTCATTAAAATATGACAAACCCTTGCTTGACCTACTGTCTTCATTTGTATGATGGTTGGCTCTGTGTTTGGCCTTGGGATAGGTACATCCAGCTGAGAAGCTTGAGATAGCTTACAAATGTCAGATGATGACCAACCCCTTCCCAGGAGGAAAGCAGGCTCAGCCTTTGAGTTGAAATCCCAAAACAGGGAAACGAGGAGGAACATTTAGGAATCTTGATTTCAAATTGCCTTTTAACCGGTCTGGAGATGAGCAGGCACTTCTGCGTTTCCCATCATTCGAGTACTGCAGTAGGGAGAAAGAGGAGCATTTCTCCTATCCTGCTTAAAAAGGTATGGAGAGATGCAGCACTGCCTGTCTTAGGCAAGCAGAGAGTGGTCTGTCTTGCCTGACCTCTGAAAGCAGAAAAGGGGTGCGGTACCCAGCTGTTCTGGCGAAAGGAACACATGCCCCGGTGTTACCACTCTGCTGCGGTGAGGGATGCTTCTCCTGCTGCCTGAGCACCTGCCGGCAGCTGCTGTGCTCCTGCCTGGCTCCTCTAGACTCTGTGCTGCAGAGACATTACAATAAATAAGGCTGTCATTAGGCAGCACTCAAGCTCCCAGTCAGAAGATCTGTTAGAGAACATTAAGCAAATCTTTTCTTAAATCACAGCCTGGAAATGAACCTTAAATCAAATCAGCTGCTGCCAGGCCTCATTGCAGAGTGTTAATGAGGCTCTAAAACCTGCCCTGAGCCAACCACATCCCTGATCTGACAGGAGAGCAGCCTGAAAAACGGGATTCCCTTGTGTGGCAAGGAAGGTTTCATGCATCCTTGTATTGCCTCAATGTGTGGTGGCCTGAGGATGTGCTGGCACTTAGGAGCCGGAGGAGCTGTGTCTCAGCTGAAGACTTGGGCAGACAGGGCGGTGCAGGTCTGGGCAGAGCTGTTTACTGCTCTGCTTGAAAACAAACTGAAACAGAGCCTGGGAAAAAACTGCTTCTGCCTCAGCCTGGCATCTCTTCATCCCTCTCCCCACACAATTCCTGGGAGAGTCTTGAGGCCCATTCTTGGTAGACGTGTTGCAGAGCGTTTACAGATGTCCATTTCCATAACCAGAGCCAAGCTACCTACAGAAAAATTTCCAGCACGGTTGGAGAAAGATCTTCTGGGATGCCTCACTCTGGTGTTGGCAGATTCTCAAAAGGCCTGGCGTGCGTCAGGGCTGGGCACACTGGCCAGGCTGCTGTGCCGAGGCCTGCCGCCGACTCTGCTGAGGACTTCCCCTTGGTCCAGACCTACCCTCATTGGAGACAGTGGCAGAGCAGGTAGAGAGCTCCAGAAGGACCAGGAGCAAACCACAACTGCGGTCTTTGACATCGAATCAGGATATCTCTGAAGCTCCAAAGCAGCTTTTCATTCGAGGCTTGTAGGGGAAACTCTTCCAGATGAGGTAAGGATGGAGGCCTGATCAGAGCAGGCAGCTTTGATGTTTCTCCTAACCCGCTTTGTAGCTCTGGGCCAAAGGCTGGTAACAGCTGCAGCCTGGCTCCGGTGTTCGTACGGGCTTTAAGCAGGAACAGTGGGCAGGGTGGGTGGGCCTAATCTTCAGATGCTGCCTTGGATGCGCTTTGTAGATGATCTGCTGTGGCCATGCAACTAAGCAGGTGCTCTCAGTGGTGGTGGGCTTCTGTGTAGAGAGAGCAGTGAGGGGGTTTGAGTTTCAGACCTAGAATCTGCCAAGCTCAGTTTCTGTCCCTACCTGAGAGCTGACGGAGGGAGGTGGGGGGAGTAGGAAGAGAGGGGACAGGAGGGAAAATTGCACACACCTACTCCATGGGTTCACTTTTTTCCCCCCAACGCAATTTATTTCTTATGCCTCCCATGCTTCTCGTGGAACAAAACTCTCTCTCTGCCTTGGACTATTCTGTTCTGGCCCAGCAGTCTTCCTTGGTTGGCTTGGGCAGTGCTGAGCTGACCTGTACCCTCGAGCAACACCCCTGAACCGACACGGTGACCTGAGGCCTGGAGCCCTGCACAGAACAGGAGGTGATGAGATTGCCCGCGTCCAGGACAAGCACAGGAGCAGCACGGGGCTCCTTCCCCAAACCTCGCAGCTTACCTGCTCGCCGCGGTGTGATAACGCAGCGCTGAGGCAAACACCCTGCCAGGAGCGATGTGGAAATTCAACGAGAGCTGTCTGGAGAAACCAAACCAGAGCTGTGCATGCTTGCTGGCCCAATTTAGGAGGTAAAATGAGAGCTTTGCTGCGTAGGAGCAGGAAATAATCTTAAAAACCCAAAGCTTTTCTCAGCCTTAGCCTGTCAGGAGCCTTCAAATGTGCTAACAAAATCCTGGGGAAAGGAGAAACGCGGTGCAGAGAATTTTATTTAGCTTTCAAAAGGCTTTTGATAAAGTCCCTCACAAGAGGCTATTAAAGAATCTTTGTCACCTCAAGGGTGAGGGGTAGAGTCCTCCTGGAGAGGGAAGCTGTTTGAGGTGGGAATTGGAGTCAAAAGTATCAGCCAATTTTTGGCATGGAAGGAGGTTAATGGTAGGTTGGTTGGGTTTGGTAGGAGCCAATGTTCTCTAAAAGCCCTAATGAGCTGGAAGGGGAGCAGCTGAAGATACAAGATTATTTAGGTTAGCTAGGAGAAGAGAATGTGCCAGAAGCCTGGGGCAGCTGGGAGGAGGTAATGGTTGGAGCTGCTGTGCTGGAAGGAGGCTTTTGTGTGAATCCATCACGACACTAACCTGCACGGGCACTGTGGCAGCCGGTGAATGCTTTGGCACCCCTGGCCCAAACCGGCTGGTGAGCACTGCCTAGAGGGGAGACCTGGGATCCCACGGGGGGTTGCCAGAGCCCTGGCAGGTGGTAGAGCAAAGTTCTGAGACCCGCTTGTCCCTATAAGTTGTGTGTTTTCTGCCCTCTCTCCTTTGCTGGCCTGTTGCTCCATCCCCAGCACCTCCATTTGACTCCCACACTATACCCACATGTGGCCGGCGTGGGATGACCCTATAGCTGGGTGGTGCTGGGACCTCAGCTCTACATGATGGCCAAGAGCTGTGCTGGGCAGGACGGAGAGGGCAGGGACCAGGTCCCAGCTGGGTGCACAGGCAGTCTCTCTCCCCCAACATTACCAGTGCCAAAGCAGAGCCCCATAGCCGGCCCCTCCACCCTCCGCTCAGGCTGCTGGCCAGGGAGCAGCTGCCCTCTCTGCTTGGTCCCAATCTGTCAGAGAAACTATTCTTCAACAGGAAAAGGCAAATTAATTAAAGCATACAGCATGTGAGCCATCCGCCTCTAATTGGGATCTCGATGTGCAGCATGTAAATGTCATGCCGCTGCCGCCTCTACGTGGAGGGAGCCCTCGGAATACGAGGGGGCCGGGGGGGGAACAGCAGCCTTTCATTTCCAGCTGCCACCCTCTGCCAACCAATTAATGTTGGCACCCCTTTCTCCTCACCCCCGGGAGAAGAGGCCTCTCTCCTCCCTGCCCTGCCGCCGCTGCGTGGCTCCCACCGCAGTAGTAGTCAAGAGGCTCGCTACAGCCTGCTCGGTGCGCTCCACCGAGTGCGGGGATTTGTTTCCCCACAGCGTCTCGAACAGAAGTGGCTCTCATCTGTTCTCGATTAGCTCCCTCGGCTCCTGTTTGTTTTGCCTTTCAAGCAGTTGTTGTTGGCACGTAGCACTGGTAGGAGCTGGCGGGCATCAAGCTGTCCTCCCTGGGATGCCAGTCCTGGGCATCGACTCCCTCCCAGCCAGGAGCCAGCATCCCGGAGAGGGCAGGGTGAGGCTTCCCCTCTGCCTCCCATCCGGAAAGCAACATACTGTTGCTCAGCCTCCGAGCATCCACCCTCCGTGCCAGGGTTTTGCCCACTGATTCGGGCCAGGCTCCTCCAGCTCGGTGGTGCTACACGCGAGAGACTGGAGGGCCCAAGCGCTGCATGGGCAGGGCTCAAATGGCTCAGTGGGACAGGCAAGGTGTGAGCGATGGGAGACGTGAGCCCAGGAGGGAGCAAATGCCACTGCTGGGAAAAGGAACCAGACACCGACATCTCCAGGAGGGACCCGTTGCTGAAACTGAACTCACCGCTTGTGTGGAGAGCTGCACCTGGACTCTGCCACTCCACTGAGCCTTCGCTTCAGCTGTGGCTGGCAGGACGGTGAGCTCTGGGCTGGCACGTGGGTTTTGGCAGCTGCTGAGGTTTCTCTTTCTGTCCTTGCATCCAGCTCTGCTGCATCTTGGCTGGTGGAGTTGAACTCTGAAGTCCCTGCTCTTTCCAAGCTCAGGAAACACCCGAGTCTCCCTGGCCCTCCACCTTTACCTTCTGAGCTCCTGACTCCAGCTTTACGGAGGCTGGGGTAAGTAGCAGACACTGTGCAAGCTGTGCAAAACCATGAGATGTCGTGGTAATTTGGGCTTGGTCCTTTCTATTTCTTAGGCCTAGCTAGATGTTCAGGTCAATATTCCCACCCACGTGGGTGCCATGGGTACACCACTGCTACGGCTTTCCCCAAACCC